AGAAGTATGAATGATTGGCTGAGGTTCAGTCAAAACTGGAGCCTGAAAGAATGGTTAGGAAGACCGACCAACCATTGGAGAAGTTGCAAGAGGTGGAGAGTATTTATAAGGCATCCCAAACTCTGGCCATGTAGTGGCTGTATGCTGGATAGGTTAAGAGTCAACAATAACAATTGAGATTTTAGATATCACAGTCCTTTGAGGTGGCTCTCCTTTGGAAATCAGGACTTGCATCGTCTCAGTAATTTTGGTCATTCTTGACTTTAACTCATCGATTTCCATTCAAACTTCCATGTCGTGATGCTCTTGGTTTTCCATTCTCAATCTAACGACATCTCTAGTCCCGTAGTTGTGTTGAGGAAATTGCTTGAGCTTAACTGGAAGAAAGGAATAATTGGGAATGAGATTCTGAGCAACCTGGATGTATACATGAATGATGCAGAGGATGCAAATGATATGCAATGTTATGTAATGCACATCGCTGTAATTGGATCATAGGTTGAAAGTCACGAGCCTGGAGTTAGAGGTACTACCCACAAGTTAAGGACTAATGGTTCAAACACCTATAAAATAAGGTTCTAAAGAAATCCCAGAGTCTACATTCTTCCTTTGGATATTACCAATGTCTCAATTTACTCAGTAATTAGTAATATTCACAGGAAAAACATGTCTGAGTGCAGTATCGTGTGACAACTATGCCAGAATTGACTCCTGGATAGTCTCTACACTACACCTAAAAGGGCCAAGATGGGTTAAGGGTTTTACGGCTTCTCAGCTTCTCGGGCTCCCAGGTCAAAAGTAGTAATGTTTTCACAATTTGTTTGTTTAACATATACTACCCATAAAGGGGCCTCTACTGAGCAGGTTTTTTTTTCAAATCAACTTACTAAGGACTTTCTCCATATAAGTTGAAGTGATTATACCATCTATCTTATCTTAAGTTTTCCCAAGTACGGGTATAGGACTTATAAAGGACCACCAAGCACTCTGAAAACCAGAAAAATCCAGACATACAAGCATATATACAACAACAAATAACAAATACACAAATAAACAAAGATATGATCAACCTATTTGTAGTATTCCCCAGTGGAGTCGCCACTTTTCTGTACTGGTATAAATGTTGATACTAAGCCATTGGATTGACTTAACTCGCAAAATCAGTGAAAGTCTTCACCACACTTTTATTTTATCCAAAGAGAATGAAAAAAGAATGAATAAATCCAAAGTAAAATATAGATCAAGGTAAGAGGGTTGGTTATGCAAAGGGAAGGTATTAGCACCCTAAACATCTATGGTACTCCATAGGAACCTCTTTCAAAATATGTGTATTTTGGCTATGAAGAAATATGTACAAAATAGATTACGGAGATGAGAGAGGAAGTATTTTTTATAATTTTTGCACCCGTCGTAGTTGCGAACCTTTTGTGCCTACGTATCTCCTTTGTGCAATAGAGGATCAGAGCACTCGTAGTTCTTCTAAAATAGAAAAAATCTTGGTGTACTGATTGATTTTAAATGAAGAGACACATTGTTATTTTTAGGGATAAGACTCGCTTAATCGCCCACAAAGTATGAGAAAGAGGGACTTTGCACTAACATGAAGGAGGGTTTAAGAACACCTCTAGTACTCAAGTGAATAAGTAGACACCTTTATAACCATGGGGATAGTGAGATGACATCTCGGTTATAAATGAATCATGTCTAATCTTTAAAAAAAAGATTTTAAATGAGAAAAGGCACACGAGGGAACAAAAAGGTTAGAATGAAGTTGGGTGTTTTTTGGTCTTTTTGAAAGAGTTAGAATATGGTTAGGTGAATTAGGCTTTGATTTAAAGAAAAATCAGTTTAAAAAAGTCGCTTGACGAAGTCAAGGTTTATTATGAAAGCAATTCAAGTTAGAAAAATAAGAAGGTTTTAAAAAAGAGGGAGAAGATTTGTAAATTAAAGAAGATGAGAGGAGATGAAGAGACTATCCTATGTGCACAAAGTAAGAGCTAAGGTAAGGAAAGGTCTAACCAATAAGAAGCCAACACTTGACATAAAGAAGTCAATGTAGAATTCCCATCCTTTTAATTGAAAACCGAGCAAGCATAATAAAACCAAACCTCGGATGAAAAGCCTCAGATGAACTTGTGCCTCAGATGAAAAATAAGAATCAAACAAAGTCTTCAAAAAATTGGATAGAGTAACGGTTGTATACAGGGGAATTCCCAATCACAGATAAAACATGGAAATAAGAAAAAACCCGCACACAAAGAAAATTCAACCCAATGCCTTGGAGGAAACTCCAAGGACTTCAGATAACAGAACAGGGTACCAAGGTCTCCAAGTATCAAAGTTCGAGAAATCCCCAATTCCAACACGCCAGGGATAGTAACCTATAGTCCATGATGAGTCTTAAGTCTCTTATTAACAAATTAAACACCAAAATAAAGGTCCAAATGGACAAAGGAAAAAGTGCATAGACATAAACATACATCCAAGTGGACGTAGAGAAAAATGCGGAATCATAAACATGTATATGAAATGTAAATGGTAAAAGTAAATTACATAAGTTAAAAGTGGTAAATAAAGTGCGAGAATTAAAGTTGCATAAAGTAAATATTAATGTTAGAGTTACTTTCCGATTCGGGACCAATGTAGCACTATGTTAAGCAATCGCAGATGAACTTATGTAGAAGTCGGTACTAAACGAGGCAGGTCTTTTAAAGTGCAGGTATTTGATAAATGATAGAAACCATACTCCTAAAACATGTAGCATAATTAAAAACAAATGTCATCAAGACCTATGTGATGGAAGATACATCATGATAAACTTTCACTAATGCCAAGTACCTTGAATGATCAAAGGATCACCTAGAGGTAGTTTGGAAATGTTGAAAGTTCATCAATTATCCATAAGCTTAGATGGACTTAAAGTTCAAATGCCTTATCCAAATTGATCAAAAAGAAAAGGTAGTAGAAAAAATAAGATGAAGAAGGGATGAAATTCCATGATAAATGATCAATGATGATTGAAGATTGAACTTAGGCCAAAGTTGATGAAGACTTGTTAGAGGATTGGTAAAACTAAAGCCTCGTAACAACAAGCTTCAAAGGTTTTGAACCAATGTTCAATAATCAATCATAGTTGAACAATTTCAAGCATAAAGCTTGGGACACGAATGATCACTTAAAGAGGAAAAGATAAAAGATGAATCAATGATGAATGATCATTAATGATTGAAGATTGAACTTATGTCAAAGTTGATAAAGAATTGCTAAAGGATTGATAAAACCAAAGCCTCTTAACAACAAGTTTCAAAGGTTTTAAGCCATGGTTCAATAATCAATCATACATGGACAATTTCAAGCATAAAGCTTAGGCCACTAATTATCATTTAAAGGAATCAATAAAGGGATAAGATGAAGAGGAAGCAGATGAAGTAGAGATAGACAAAAAATTAAATCCCACATTTGAACCAAAAAATTAATCAAGCTATCATTAAAATCACTAATCCATTTTGGTGGAGTTTAACTCAACACCCAAGATCCAATAATGTTAATGAGGTTTATGATTAAAATTTTCATAGTTCAAGATCAGCCAGAATATATACAAAAACAATTTCATTTAATAAGCAAAATATAATGAGAAAATGATTTTCAAATTGTTTTTAAAATGAAAAATAAAAGGAAAAATAGCAAATTATATTCAAAATACCAAATAAAAATTAAAAGAGATCATAGAAAAGTCATAATTGATCTAAAATATTTTAACAAAATCTTCGGTAATTTTTTAAAACAGAAAAGTATTTTTAAATTATTTTAAATCACTCATGTAAGTGAAAAATGATTAAAAATAGAAAAAATAGGAACTAAATTCCAGAAAAAAACCACTAAGTTAGAAATGAGACAAATGAATTTTAAGAATTATTTTCAAAATTTTTGGACGAAACTTGAATTTAAAATAATTTTTTGAAATTTAAAATGAATTAAAATTAAAATATTAAAAAGAAGTTAAAACATAAAATCTGCAGCTATTAGATCTGGCCAAATCCAGTGTAGTAAACATATCATGAGGTCCAAATCTATAGGTCTATGATTATATTGTGTACACGCGCGTATGGAATCAGAAATACTCATCCACTAGTTCTCACATAGCTGACCGCGTGGAAACCGAGAAAAAGAGAGGCAGTGGATCTTTGAGTAAAACAAACTAATTAATATATCAGCTTTTCAATATTGCTTTTATTATAAAAAATTCCTCTCCCTTTTCTTTCCAATGTTTCATCACCCTTCATTTTCTCTTTAATGCACCATCATCATCATATTTGAAAAGAACAAATAAGTGAAACAAACAGAAAAAAGAAAATGGAAAGAGAAATTGAGAGAGCAGCCGGAAAGGGAAGGCGACGCGGTGGAACACGAAGAACACGGCGGCGGTCGGCCAGAGCTCGCGGCAGCGCCGCCGTGTAGTTCTGTTTTTTTTTTTTCCAGTTTTTTTTTACATTTTCGTGTTCATCTTCATCTCCTCTACTCAAATCGTGAATCAATTTTTTGAAAAAGTAAAAGAAATTCGCGAGATCTACAAATACAGTTTCAAAAGCTTTTTTGTTCAAAACCACCACAAATCAACACAGGAGCTAAGAAAAGAGAGGAAATTAGTGTTATAAGTATGTTAAAAACCTTGAGAGATGGAGAACGGTGTAAGGAAGGGCGGTGGTCGGAGGAAACAAGGTGTTTTCTGGTGAGAAGGATTCTTGTGACAGTTTGAGAGGTTGACGGCTCAGATTCCTGTGCGGTTAGGGAGCTCAGGTGACGGTTTTCTTGTTGTGTTGGGCTTTTCCGGCAAGGGCAAATGTTAGTGGTTTATTTTTTTTTCTATTTTCTCTTAGTTTTTGAGTTTGTCAGTGAATCAATCTCAGTGTCAGTCTCATTGAATGGTTATATAGTGTTGATTCAAGGGATTTCTACGAACAAGGAATGGGCTGAGATTGAAATTATGTATTGGGTTCAAAATGCTTAAAATGAGATGTTTATTTTTTTGCTACAAAACCTCCAATCTGAAAATGCCTTCATATATCCCACTGTTTTGCAATGTTTTTGTCCTTTTGATGTTTATTTGGGATGTTAAATGGGCTTTTAGAAAATATGTACCTTGTTGTTGGAATAATGTTGATATTGTTGAACTTGTTTCTTTGTTGTTGAGCTTTGAAGGAACTCTCTTGATAACAAGTATGCTTAACCCATTTTATCTTTTCTTTTCATGTCATGTGATGATATGTTGAGAGCATGAAGAACAAGATGGTTGAAAAGAATCGTGAACCCGAATCAAAGCCATGGCAAGGAGTTGAAGACTTGAAGATGGAATAAGTCTTGAATCCATTTGGTATTAGGAATTAGGAACCTTTAATCATTTAAAATTCTCTTGTAATTAGACATAGAAAGAAAACTTGAGATGACTTAGAATTCATGAAAGTTTCTTCTTGAATTTGAATCTTTGTTGTAGAAACTTTGAATTCTTAAGTTTGTATGGATAAATTCCTTGTAATTTTGATGGATGGAACTTTGAATCCTTGGATGATGTGAAACTTGAATATCCTTTTGAGATTTTGATCCTTGAGTTACAATTGGATATTGAAGCTTGTATGTAATCTAGATTCTTGAAAAAATAAATTTGAATGAAGCATAGACTTTAAAATGATCTTGAATTCCAAACTTTGGAAATTTATTGAATATGCCTTGAATAAAGTTTGATGAGAAAAATTGAATGATTTTTGAAGACTTGAACTTGATGATGTTGAATGAGAATGCTTCACATTTCAAGAAACTTGCCTTTGAACATTTTCTTGAACCAAAATAAAAGTCTTGTAATCTTTAAATTCATGGAAACAAGAAATTCCCTCAATTGCAAAAACCTCAACATTCGAATTTAGAATATCCTTTGAACTTGAAATTTTAACTTGAAAGAATGACCTTGAATTTCTAATAATCATGCCATGACCAAAAAGAATTTCAATCAAAAGTCCATCTCTAATTCAAGCTACTAATGCTACACACAAACAACAACCAATCCCTAATTCTTCAAAATTCCCACTTGACAAAGAATGATCTCAACATAATAATTATGGAATGAATTGAATTTAGAGATCAAAATCAACCTAAGTCGAAATGACCTATAAAGTTTCAACAAATTTTATAACCTTGTAAGCACAATTCAACTTCGACACTTAAAGCAAGTTTGTAGATAATGCCATTTGTAATACCATGAAAATAGAATCGTCTCAAAATGATGAAAATTGAAAGAGTTATGATCCTTGAAAGTTGGACGAAAATCAATTAAAGTTAGGTCAAAGTGAAAAGCAACCTCTAATGTACTCAAACTTTTGAGGGTCCTCTTCACATAATTAATTCTCGACTTATAAATAGAAGTTGGAGATGATGTCAATAAGATTCATATGCTCAAAAAATCGATCAAAAATACGGAATAATGAAGAAGTTTGGATCGTTTGAACTGGAACTTGCAAATGTTGACTTTTGGTCAAACCCACTTTGGATTAACTTGTGAACTTGATCTTTTTCCACAACCTAAGGTATTCTTAAGCACGTGTGAACTTGAGATGATGAATTTGTGATTAAACCATGTTAACACTTGTTAAAACTTGAGATTACTCAACGAATAAGGCATGGAAATAAACACATGAACCTCTCTCGAAGAGTCTTGAGAATTAAGCAACCAAACTTGCGTTAACCATGTTGAATGAAGCTTGAGGATAGCGTGACCTAAGATTATAGATCCCCACTAAAATGATAGGCCTTTGAAAATAAATATTTGGCCTGAATAACCCATAACCCTAATTGGAGAACCATCACAAGACTACACAAGGTTTGATCAGCTTAAGACACATCCTCTAGCACTGATGACTGAAAATTAGAGTTTGAGATTGCACAAGGACAAATGGACTTTTAATGCCCTATATGAATTTCATGGATCATTTTGGACCCTTAAGATTTCTATGTCAAGTTTCAAGTCTTGGATCACATTTTTGCTCAGTCAATTGATCAAATGACCTAAAATCAGCTATATTGGGGGAAAAGTCAACTGTGGTCAATTTACAGTCAAACTTCATAATTTTTGACCCATATAAACATTATGAACTCATATATGTCATTTGATCGAGTTTGGATCACAATTCCTCAAGAAATTTGATCAGATCATCAAAAGGGCAAAATGGTCAAAATTAGGGTTTTGACTAAGAAGATGCAATTTTTGACCTAGAAAATGATTGATTGGTTTGAGACATGATCTAAAGGATTCAAATGCTTCATTTTGACCTAATGGTGTGGCTCAAAACATTGCTCAAGATCAATTGATTGACAAATGAATTTCAGTTAACTAATGAAAAGTCAACTGTACACTGAAAAGTCAAACTTTAACTTTTTGGTCAAAATCAAGTATCAAAGATCACAATTCATCAAAACATGTCAAAATATGAAACTTTTTCATCAAGAAATCAAAAAGTAAAGATTTCATTTTGAAAAGTCAAAATTTCTAAACTTAGAAATTTTTCTAAGTGTTGAAAAATTCATATTTTTTCACAACTTTGAGCCAATTTTTCACCATGATGCAAGATGATTCAAAGGAAACTTCCAACATGAATGTTGTATATCTCAATGATATCTAAAACATTATAGAACATAACTTCTTCTAGAAATGCATGGATTTCAAGTTATGATTTTGTGAATATATGTTCATGAAACTTGGAAACTTAGTGAAATTTTACCCTAGTTTAGGCAGGATTTTGACCTAACTTCATTGCAATTTTTCACATAGTTTCAATATGAATCTTCAAAAATTTCCAACATATAGGTTGTAAAGGATGTTACAAGCTTTCTAAAATGTCAAATAACTCATTGAGATCATGTTTGATGAAGGAGAATCGAAGGCAAGAAGTTAGGGTTTCATTCTTGAATTACAAGTCATTTCTTGATGAACACATAATTGAATTTCAATGTTAGACTGCATAATCTTGCTTTGCAGGCCTTCTAACTTGTGTATCTATCCATCATTAATGGATTACACAAACTTTTGAGCTATAATCCAAGTGTTTTAAGCTTTATCCAATTCACATTGCCATTTTAGGAAGAAAGTGAAGAATGCCATTCTTGAAAAGCAAGCTTTTTGCACAAAGTCAATTCTTGAGCCTCTAACTTGTTCCCTATGATCACACTCCATCTACAAAGTTATAAGCAAGTGTGTTCAAAGCATAACCACTCTATCTTTGCAAGTACACAAAACTTTGAAACTTGGATTTCTCAAAAATCACATGTTATGCTTAAACTTGTGATTTTGAATTCTGATCAACAACAAGCTTCCAAACTTGTTTCTTATAAATAGAGGCACTATTTGTGAGCTAGGACACGAGCTTGAACACCTTGAAATACTCCCAAACTCCCTCTAGCCAAAATTGCTTCAAAACACCATTGTTGTGCAAGTTCTGACTTTACAGATCAAACTTCCATTTCCCTCGTGCATTTCTTGGCCTTTTAGTTTCAAAAGCTTTCTCATATCAAATATAACTTATCCCCATCCTATTTCCAGAACTGTAACACCATTTACTATAACCTCCATAACCAAAAACAAAGCATTGCAGTTGGACTTCTCCAGGTCATTTCAGCCACTCTCAACTCAAGCTAAGCATTGCATTAACTTCCTAAAGACTCAAGGAAGCTAACCTGATCATTGCAGCACCTTGCTTCAAGCTCAAACTCATTTCAAGATTTCTAGTTTTAAGGTATTTTTCTTGAACTTCCATCTTCTCATTTAGGCATTGTTAGGTTTGCATTTGTGAAGATAAAATGTAGACATCATTGCCCTAAAACTATACATGCCCATAGATTTCATTTATGTTGCTTGAGTAGGGAGAATTTTGAGTTTGAACCTCTGAAAATATTTAGGTCAGAATTTGGTACTGTTAGAAATTCATGCTCATCTTTGAGAATTAACTTAAGTTATTTACATATTCAGAATCGTGAGGAAATTTCTAACAAGTTTGATGTTGGAAATTTTGTGAATGGATGAGAAATGAATGAGTTACAGGTTCTCTGGCTAGAGGTTGAAGATGAAGTTCATTCAGGACTTGATTTATGTTACATATTTATTGTTTTGTTTATATCAACGGATGTATAGCTACCCCAGTGGTAAAGCGCGCACCTGTTAACCTCTGGGACCTGGGTTCGAGCCCCAGTGGTACCCTTTTGGCTCTTTTTCAAATTTTTTTTCTATTTTTTATTATTTGAAACTGGCGCCTGGGCCTCTCTAGTGGGCTTTATGGTTTTTGCTGGCCTTTAACCCCCTGATTACTTTCACACCCCTGACCCTTTATTTTATTATTTTATTTTCTTTTTCTATATTTTATTTTCATATTATTTTTATTATTATTATTATTTTTTTATTAATAGAAAAATCCAAAAATATTTTATTTATTATTTACACTTACTTATTTTATTTTCTTCATAAAACAAAAAGACCAAAAACATTTTTCTTAATAAATTTAATTTCTTTTTTAATAATTAATATTTAGATAATTGGGTTTAATTATTATAATATTCTCTTGTAAATTAATATTAATTTAGAACTTAGGTTTCTCTTAATTAATTAACTTTCATTTCATTTTTATTAACTTCAAACCTTTTTTTCCATAAAAACCCTAAAAATCTTTTTTTAACTTAATTTCTTGGTTAAATAGTTTAAGTTTAATTTTGTTAATTTTTAATTAATCATCTTCTTTAATTAGATTAAAACTCTTTCATAAAAATCCAAACAAAAATCTTTTTTCTTTTTCCATTTGCATTTGTACATTATTATTTATTCAATTCTTGTACACTTATTCAATATGGTTGTAATAGTTAATTAGGTTTAATTTTCTTGCAAAATACCCATTTGTAAATTTGTATACCCCCTCCCATAATGATGTAATATCTTAGTATTTTTACTTTCCGCAATTTATCACTTTATATAAATGCTAGTAATTAGGGTTTGTATGGAAAGACTAAAATCAACAAGTTAGCAACTCTAATTCAAGATAAACATGCATGTAAATCAAACATACTTGCACACTTATACCCTTAGGGTAATTCCACTTTGTTGCCTTACCAAAATGGCCATGTTATGCATGTGGGATATCTTAGCCAAAAGCAATAAAAAATACAAGATCATAGTCCCTCGATGACGCTATCAATATTGCCTTTCAAAATGACCTTAGTCCCTCAAAGAGAAATGCTAAGA